GTGAATAGAAGCTCAAAACTTAGTGGTTATTTTTGGTTCTAGGTTGAAAACGAGTTGAGATGGGCTGGTTGAGTCTTTAGCTCATTCTCTCTTAAAAACCTAGGTTTGATTCTGAGTTTTGAGTGAGAAGAGAGAAGAAAGTGCTATGGTCGGAGTTCTAGGGTTTTTTTGCTGAAATAGACCCAAAAAGGAAGTCTAAACTTGATAGAAACTAAACAAAAGTAAAATGACCTTATAATAGAACAAGTGCCTAGGTTTTTCTAAGCCTTTAATAGAGGTAAAATATCATATCAAATAATCATAATAAATATAATTTTTCTTCATAAGTTTAGCACATTGAGTTCCCACATCGAGATAGTTGCACTACACATTAAAACTGAAAACGCGATTAGCAAAGCTATAAGTTTAATAAAATCATATGATAGCTATAATAATAAAATATAATGCCAACAAATAACTTTTAGGTAAATGGTAAATGTGATGCATGATTTTAATTTACTAAATTTATTTATTATTGGCTTAAGGCTCAATTAAATCTCGGGTATTACAGTTAACGCCTACTTATCATTTGCAGGAATCGACTTAGAACTCTATCACCGTGTCGAGTTTATGTTTTCTCGTCGTCTGTCAATTTTCATTCATGTGGGGGATTGTTAGAAAATGGCTTGTTAAGCCATATTAAAGGCCCAATTGGATTTTGGGACGGGTCTCGATGGATTTGCATTCTCCGTCGCGAGGAAATAGAAATCGATTATTTATACACTCAAAATGAATATTGGGTGAATGAGAAATTGATGTTCTAAGTATGTCACTTGGAGTGGTTAATGTAGTTGAAAATTACAAAAATCCCACATTGGCTAGGAATGAAGCCTTGTGGTGTTTATAAGTGATTGCACTTTGAAGCCTAGGCAAGCATGTATACTAGAGAGGCTTTCTCACGCACAGGGGGGGTGGGGTGCGAATCACGATTCCAGCGGGTTTGGGGCCTAATGTGTGCAACCGCGACCTACAAACACGAAGGCCGAACCAAAAAACCCGCTTCGTGCGAGCTAAGTTTTTGCAATTTTTTATTTTTTTCGCCCAAGATCTTCCAACCGTTTGGCTTAAGATTAATGAGCATAATGGGACTTAATGGTGATCAATGGAGGAAAACTGAAATAAGCCATGGTTAATAACCTTATGGTATCAATTTTTCTTCATAAAAGTCTGAACCTTGCTATTCAAGGTGGCCAGATTCATCTTTAGGGAAATGAATTGTTTTTGGCCTGTAATTATGTGATATTAAACACCATAATTGTTTGTTTCGAAATCCTTTTCTCAAGAGCCTATATAAAGGGTTCTCCACATGAAGGAAGAACACACTCATTCGAAATCACTTCTCCTCTCTCTCGGCTCACTCTTTTCCAAGTTCTTTGTACTCTTTCCGAGTTCTTTGTGCATCTTCTTTTGTAGTTCAGTTTTGGTGATAGAGGGAAGATCCGAATTCTAGTTTGCCAGACGGTTCCGATAGTGCTTTGATCCGAATTCTAGTTTGCCGGACGGTTCCGATAGTGCGAGCTAAGTTTTTTTAATTTTTTATTTTTTTCGCCCAAGATCTTCCAACCGTTTGGCCTAAGATTAATGAGCATAATGGGACTTAATGGTGATCAATGGAGGAAAACTGAAATAAGCCATGGTTAATAACCTTATGGTATCAATTTTTCTTCATAAAAGTCTGAACCTTGCTATTCAAGGTGGCCAGATTCATCTTTAGGGAAATGAATTGTTTTTGGCTTGTAATTATGTGATATTAAACACCATAATTGTTTGTTTCGAAACCCTTTTCTCAAGAGCCTAAATAAAGGGTTCTCCACATGAAGAAAGAACACACTCATTCGAAATCTCTTCTCCTCTCTCTCGGCTCACTCTTTCCGAGTTCTTTGTGCATCTTCTTTTGTAGTTCAGTTTTGGTGATAGAGGGAAGATCCGAATTCTAGTTTGTCGGACGGTTCCGATAGTGCTTTGAGCTACCGTCCTTGTCGTTGTATCCTGAGAGACGGACGTCCAACGTTGCCTCAAGCACTCGCCGGAGGGGACGAATCTGTTTTACAGAAAGTGTGGTTCACGTGCATCGACATTCTTACAATTTCGATTTTCAGGTTTTGGTACAAAGGTTAAATTCGTGTTGTAACTATTTATTATTTCGTTCATTCATAAGTTGTTGTTCTTCTTTGTATTTTTCATATTTTGCTGACATATATTATCATAGAAAGATCGTGAATAATATGGAAAACTTATTCGAATGCATCTTTCTGATTTGTTGATGATGATTATTGGCAATACCAATCGAACTGATGACAACTTTTTTCTTTTTTTTTTTTTAATATTTAAGGGTGAGAAGATTTAAAGTGGTCACTTTAAGTGTAGATTTACGATTAAGTTATGCCTATAACTACAATTGATAATGACTTTTAAGTAGTAGAGGAATTGCGTTGAAATCAGTTAAATTGATAAGTTAGACCTGAATTCTTTAACTTCCGCATTTGGGAGTTGCGATCTCAATTTCTGCTATTAATTGATGTTCTTCTTTAATTGGACTTCAATTTAAAGAATTGCCTAATTTAGAATCATAAACGCTAAGTTGTGGTTGAACAACTCGATCTCACATAAGATTGATCTCCAGTACAAATCGAAGGAGCTAGCCTGTGATAAAAGTCATCATATTGAAGGAAAAAAATAATAATAAAAGATACTAGTGGATAAACGAAAGTTAAAGATTATTGCATTGTCGTTTTAGTTTAAAATTGACGCAACAAAATTGATAGAATGAGATTTTACCGGTTTAAGCGGTCAGACGGAAAACGGGACATGCAATCCTAAGCCTACCTAAAGAAACCACACAATGAGAAAATCCCCAAATTGGATAGGAAACACTCAAACTTTGTATTTAATATCAATTATCAAGTCTAACTATTACAATAATAAAGTGGTCACTTACAAAAATAATATCACAACACCACTAAAGCAAACGATAAATTAGTAACAAAATAAAGTTAAATTAATAAGTTAAAACAAACGATAAAAAAAATATACTAATAATTAAATCTCCCTAAGTCAAAAATTGTCCAGCAGAAAAAAATCGCTCCATCACTATGTAAGATATGGTGTATAAAATAATAAATAACCCTACACCGAATCACATGATAAAGAAATAGAATTTACTTTTAAACTGAGAGAGACTTAAAAATATATAAGAAGAGCATAATACATGATTTTATATAAGTCTATTATTTATGTAATTTTAAATAATTAGACGTTATTATGATTTTTTATTTTTTTTAATTTATTGAAAGACAATTATTCTGGAGTGGCATTTCTGAATTTTTTTCATATATAACTAGTTCAGAAACATGAAGAATGTAGTCCAATACTATATAAGTGACTAATAAATATAGATCACCGTTATTTCATTAGAATATATATATATATATATAGAGAGAGAGAGAGAGAGAGAGAGAGAGAGAGAGAGAGAGAGAGAGAGCTTGCTTAACATAACACCCAACCCCTTTCCGTCTTCCACCCCTTCTTCGTCTTTAGTCATTTAACATGAGATTTATACATTTTCTTCATTTTCACGTGATTTTTTTTTTTCGGCGTACTTTTTATTCATCAACTTGCACGTGCATGATGGAAAACAAGACAAAACATCAAATGTACGGATACACAAAACAAATTGATAATCTATTGGGATATCAAGACAGAAACCCATATCAGGCACAGCTAGCAAACAGTTATTAGTGCTTCCTTTTGTCATTTTGTAAGACCAAAATCGGCTGAGAACAAAAATCTGTCCACCAAGTCACCAACATCAGAAAAAGCCAATTATCAAAAAAAATAAATAAACATCAGAAAAGCCAATCTAAGAAAGGGTTTTTTTTTTATGTCAAAGTTTATATATTATTCTTTTTTGTTGTCAAGATAAGAAAATATAAAGAAGTGCAAAACCACAAAACCACTCTGACATGGCCCACTTTCTGTGTGCGTTTCAAGTTTCCATTTCTTTATTCATTGCAGCAATAACAAGTTCTTGCAAGTAGCAGCAAAATGCTGAAACATTTGATCCACTCCACCCTACTCCACCTTAATTATTTCCCCATTTTCCCAGATTTCGGTTCTCACCACTTCGTACATTGAACCACACAAAAAAAATTTAAAAAAAAAAAACCTTAAAAAAAGATGACTTTATATTGTTCAACTTCAACCGACTTTAATTATTCTAAGTTGTAGAATTGTTATGAGTTCAAAGAAAAAAGGAAATCCAACCATATTGGATCATCAAATTGTTGTGAATTTCGTTCAATATCTGTGTGTTTGGGTATAATTTCGATGGAAATTCTGTTACGGTATCTTTTGTAAAGTTAAATTTGATCAAAATCACAATATCTCTGAAATAAAACACTAACATAATTTTATGAGAATTTTTTTAATAATATGAATACTCTATTTTAAAATTTTAAATTTATCTCAAATGTACAATTTTGATAAGATCTAACACTTACTATCAACAAAAATACTTTAGCACAAAAGGTTTATTGATGAAAATTTAATACTTTATCCTCTAGAGTATTTCTCATTTTGATATTATTTAATGTTCATAAACAAACACCGAAAGAGTCCCTGTAGTTATTGGGACTTTCTCTTCTTACTAATAGTGTTAATTTTTAACCGTTAAATTTAATTAAAATTACATTAATTTAAAAAAGTACGTAAAAAAAATAGTTTGTTATACAAATTTAACGACTAAAAAATAAAAAAATAAAACTACTTAGTAATTATTTTTTCTATTCTTATCGGAGAAACTCCGCGGGGTTGATTTCCTCGTCAATATAAAACCCAAATAACCAAAGCCTCGGGGTTTTGTTATTTCCATATCTATATAAAAAGCCAAAGCCTTGGGGTTTGTACAAAGTTATTAAATCAAACTTATTACCACAATCAAACAACCCCCCATATATCTTATAATGTCTCTTGCATCCAGCAGTGCAACTTGCCTTTCGTCAGCCATAAGAAACAACTCCCCCGAGCACGAATCTTTCCAAAAGTTCTTCGAATGCTGGCTGTCCGGGCAAAACCAACACCTTCAGGAGCTCATCTCCGCCGCTAAATCTCCTGCTTCGGCGGCGGACGAGGCAGCGTTGCGCTCGCTCATCGAGCGGGTGGTTAAGCACTACGAGTGCTACTACCGCGCCAAGGCGACATGGTCAAGGCGCGACGTCTTGGCCATGCTCACCCCGTCGTGGCGGAGCACCCTCGAGGACGCCTTCCTCTGGATCGGGGGGTGGCGGCCGAGCATGGCCTTCCACTTGCTCTACTCCAAGTCCGGCCTTCAGCTCGAGGCCCCCGGGAGGCTCAGCGAGCTGATAAATGCCATGACAACGACGACGGCGACGGCGACGGCGATAAGAGAGGACTTGGCCGACATCTCCCCAGAGCAGCTGTCCCGAGTGGACGGGCTCCAGAGGAGGACTATAAAGGAGGAGAAGGAGATCTCAGAGGAGATGGCCAAGCGCCAGGAGACCCTGGCGGCCCCCGACATAGTAGAACTTTCTCACGTGGTATCAGAGCAAATGACGGCCGGCGGCGGCGGTAGTCGCGACGGTGATGAGGAGGAGGAGGAGGAGAGAGTGGAGACGGCTTTGAAGCCGAAGGAGAAAGGGCTTGAGGAGGTACTAGAGAGGGCTGATGAGCTGAGGCTGAGGACACTTAAGGATGTCATTCACCTGCTCACTCCTATTCAGGCTGTCCATTTCTTGATTGCTGCTGCTGAGCTCCACTTGAGGATCCATGAGTGGGGCAAGAAGAGGGACGCCAAAACTCATCAACAGCGACATCTCGATTAATTATTAATTAGTTCGCAATACATGATTTTATTATAATTGCAGGTTTAGTATAGCGGTAAAGTCACATCTATTTTTATTTTTTCATATTAATGGGCACACCCATATAAAAAGTCGATTAATTAATTAGTTGGCAATACATGATTTTATTATAATTGCAGACTTAGATAGCGGTATAGTGACATCTATTTTTTTTTTCATATTAATGGGTCACACCCTTATAAAAAGTTGATTAATTAATTAGTTCGCAATACAAGATTTTATTATAATTACAGATTTAGCGTAGCGGTATTATAATTACAGATTTAGTATAACGGTAAAGTCACATCTATTTTTATTTTTTCATATTAATGGGCACACTCTTATAAAAAGTCGATTAATTAATTAGTTCGCAATACATGATTTTATTATAATTGCAGACTTAGTGTAACGATAAAGTCACGTCTATTTTTATTTTTATTTTTTATATTATTGGGCCACACTCTTATAAAAAGTCGATTAATTAATTAGTTCGCAATACATGATTTTATTATAATTGAAATTTAGTGTAGCGGTAAAGTCACATCTATTTTTTATTTTTTTATATATTAATGGGCCACACCTTTATAAAAAAAAACAGTACTGTTAGGAGGAAAACTTTCTAATTTAAACAAGAATTATGATAGTTATATAAGGAAATTATTTTAAGTACTATATAAATTAGTTGCTATACTGATTATTATTAGTTGTCGCATATGTGGTGGCTCGCTTTTGTTAGGAAAGAATATTGTTTAAGAATGTAATTCAACTAATAATAAACTGTCATTTTCTTGTTACAAGATTTCAGGTTTTTTTTTTCTTTTCTTTTCTTTTTTCCCACTGCTTAATTTTCTGATTTCTTATGTTCAGGGCTTTAATGTGGAGAGCCCGCCTTATACGTACTGTCAAAAGCCGTTTTTCTTCCCCTCGGGTGCTTCTCAAGTTGGTCCTGACTTCAGTCTTTTCATATTGTTATTTATTTTTTTTCACAAAATGACAAAAGAATTATTTTAAAGTAAACCCTTATGAGGCTAGGATATGTTTTTGATCTATTGATTTTTGACTGATATGCCAATGTTATAACAACAATAAAGATCAATTATAAAAATAAAAATAAAAAAAAAAAGAAAAAAACAACAACAACAATAAAGATCGGAATAGCATGACGTGTTAAAAGGAAGTCAGGGTTCAATTTAAATTCAGTGTATAATTCGGAGTCTATTTGTTAAAAAAAAAAAAAAAAAAAAAACTAAATTAAATAAGATGAATTAAAATACGATTTGTCTCGAAAGTATTTTAAATGATTTCTAACTAATCATATTTTGTTATATCATCTAATGAATAAACGTGATAAAATTAATTAAAAAAATTTAAATTTTTATGTGACGTGGCACAATATAATCGGTTAAATGTATTTTGAACAATAATTTGAGTCCCATCTTATTGTCCCTATGTTGCAAGTTAATGTTACCTAATTATGTTTCCTTTCTGTATTTGTTCGTAGATATGCCCTTCAAGCGCTTGAACCTGCTTGGATCACATCTAGACAAATAGAAGCAGGGCGACGAGTAATGACACGAAACGCACGCCACGGCGAAAAAATATGGGTACGTATATTTCTAAACAAATCAATTACAGTAAGACCTACAGAAACACGTATGGGTTTAGGAAAATGATCTCCTGAATATTAGGTAGTTGTCGTTAAACCAGGTAGAATACTTTATGAAATGAGCGGAGTACCAAAAAATATAGCCAGAAAAGCTATTGCAATAGCGGCATCCAAAATGCCTATACGAACTCAATTCATTATTTATTTATGGTGTATAAATCTAGAGGAATACTACATATAAAGATGTTGAAAAAAAATGTAATGATAAAGAGTTAAATATACCATGTCAATTGCATATTTTCAGAGGCAGAAAAGGGCCGGGGAAGGTAAGAATGAGTATGTAGAAACACTTATTTAGCAGAATGGATAGAATAGGATTTTATTGGCTTAATCCGGATAAGAGATGAGACTTAAAGGTTTAAGTTAATGTCTGGTTCACGGATTCAGAACCATGAGTCAGAATTTTTTTCGATTTACATGTATTTTTTGTGAGAAAAAATACTGTAGCAAACCACGAATTATGATTCGAACCATAGTACGAATCCTCATTCCAAACACCCTATAAATCTACTTAAAGAAATCACGAACTTAGAGAAAACAAGACTCAATTTTGAATTCATTTCTCAAATATTCTTAAGTCTTCTATTATCATAGCGAACGAGGCTATTTATAACTCACTTATAAAATGATAGCAACATAGCTACTTAGACATACGATAAACTAATAACGAAATTAAAGCTAAGTAGATAAATGGCAATACAACCAAAAATAACGACTAATATAGTTAGAACCTTCTACGTCAAACACTAACTTTAATCCCAACTATTTGTATAAATTTTTCATTGGAAAAATGCAATATTTGACTATTAATTTATATGACAATCTTTAATTAACTACCAATACTGAATAATAACTTAGAGTTGATAAAAAAAAAGATTTAAATTAGTGTCACTAGCATTGTCGTTTAATGCGAGCGAGTGCAAATGTCATTCTAAAGTTTGATTATGATAGATACATCCTTCATAAGGAATGTGTGGAAAATGCAAAGCGAAGCAGCAAAGATAATGCCTTAAATCAAGCAACAATGATCATATTTGTTATAAGGCAATTTGTTCACAATTATATTCAGTTGTAAGATAAGAATCAGCAATGGATGCTTTTGCAAAGAATAAGCAGCATTTCTTGCACAAAGGAAAAAGGGAAATTGGGAAGCCAAAGCAACCTCAACTTGACTTACATTCTTTTTAAAACAGGACGTCAAAAGAGGGAAAAAGTAATAGTGCCATAGACAACGGAACTTTCCTATGTGATTTTCTATAATACATTTTGTTCTATGATTTATTTTTTTGCTTTTCGTTTAGTTTAATTGCACAACATGGCCCTGAGTTTTTAAGTTTTTGATAATTTGGTATTGGATGTAATTTTATCGACAAAAATCAACTCGAATTAAGTTTTTGGTCGCAAAACGTAGTTCAATTGTTAACATCCGTTTAAAAAGGATGGATACATGCATGTAATACGCAGATGAAAGTCTTTGTGAGACAATTATATAAATAAACCTAAAAACTCTATAACTACTCACAACAAAATTGGCCATTGATTTAATTGATGCTTTTTGATCATTCATTTTTTTTTTCTTCAAAGAGTTGGAATCCTACTAAAAAAAAAAACCCTGGCAAGCTAACAGCGCCGCCACCCCCACCCTGAGAACCCCTCACGGCCTCTGCTTGTCGCGCTGCCCACCCCACAGTGCCCCCTCCCTTTAACGACAGCCCCACACCCCGTGACAACCCTCCCTTGCGGTGTCCCTAGCAATGATACGACCCAAAACTTCCTCCCATTGATGAGACCAAGGCCGCCGTTACAATCCTGCCCTCTCCCTCACCCCACTCCTGCACTGCATCCTTGACAACATATGTACATCAGCATTTTCTTCTCATATGTTTTTTTAGGTTTTTAACACAATTACCCTCAAAACTTGTCATGATTTAACAAATTGCCTTTTAAACTTTTAGCTCCCGTTTATTTCACCCATTTGAGTTTAGAATTTGAATTTTGTTACAGTAAAAAGCTCTAAAAAACAGTCACATCTAACTCTTTTGCCACAGTAAAAAGCTCACATAAAATCACATCTCAACTCGAATTAAAAACTCGGATCAGCGAACTAAACAAGCCCTTAAAATTTTAACAATCAATCTCCTAAACTTGTAAAATTGTAATAATGTGTCCTATTTTACTAATTTGTCTAAATTTTTTATTATATTTAAGAGATTAAAAGTTGAAGAATCGAAAGATTTGTGTTACATTTGCATCGGGACGTTAAAATTTCTCATCGAACGTGCTTTTTTTTTTAAAACTAATTTAACATAATCATCGTAAAAAATTGGACATATTACAACAATTTAACGAGTTAAAGAACAACTTGTCAAAATTAAAAGTTCAGAAGACAAATTAGTAAAACCATACAAATTTAGGGGATAGATGTGAAAAATACCCTCGTATCCTCCCCCCTGATTTTACTCCTCTATCCTTGAATTTTAGGTACCCTGTAATGCATGTGCGCCTTACGATCACATTTCAACCGATGTCAACTTAAAAATTAAAAGACCTGTGGTGCTTAAAAATCAGCAAAGGATTTTTTTTTTTTTTTTTTTTTTCTGATATTAGTGCATGCTCGTTTACAAACTTCTGCGCAACAAGACACAGAAAATGGAAAAGCCAAACCCTTTACCAAAACACGTTAGAATGACTCAGAAGTGTTTAAGTTTGCAAGATGGTGGAACAGGACAAAAGCCAGCAAGTACTCTTTTACCACATCAAACCCCCATTTGCAACAACAAAAGTCTCCACAGCAAAATTATGCCGTCACCAAAGAAGGATTTAATACAAGAAGTTTTCTGCTGGCCACACTACTACTAAGCCAAGGAGGGGGCAAAACATCTTTCCAACAACCTCTCTTCCAAGACCCAGTTTTTGTTTTCAAGTGACACAAACTAACCAACAATATTCCGAAAACAGCCGACTATACAAAATTTTTGGAACAACAAAAAAAGAAAAGAAAAGGCATGGATTCTCACAACAATAGTGATTATCTTGTTAGTCAAAGGTTGAGGAGCGGCTCCATCTCCCTCTCAAGTAATCCTCTATGGAGATGCTTTGCTCACTGCCGCTAAGAGAATAAGAATCATCTTCCATATCTAGCAATGCAAGGTTTAGATGGGATTGGATGTTGGACGGAAGCGGTTCTCCATCCACAACCTCTTCTTCATCTTCCGATGCACTCACTTGTTGCCTCGCCCATCTCACGGCTTCCTCATCGCCTTGGAGTATCTTCACAACCTACAAAAGAAAACCCAACAAAATAAAATGATCCACGCTAAAACATAACAATGATAACAAATCAAGGAAATGAAGTTTCCCAAGAAAACTTACGACGCTGATACAAGGCCGTAATTTAGGTGACCGTCTAATGCAAAGAGTAGCAGCGAGAATCATTCTCTCAATCTTTTCCTTGTCAGATTCCGCGCTGCCAAGACTTGGATCTAGCAACTCGGAAACCTTCCCACCCTTTAATATTGGATTTGCCTGGAGAATCATCAAAAGTAACCAATGAATATGTTACGTTACAAGGCAGACAAATTTTAACGTGATCATTTGCCAACTAATAGATTCTATGATCTCAAGTTTCCAGATACATGCAATAACTTACCCACAATACGATGCTTTCCTGCCCCTTTGGAAATTCATTGTTAATTGGTTTTCTTCCAGAAAGAAGCTCGAGGAGTACCACACCAAAAGCATAGACATCAATTTTGTCGCTTACTTTTCCATGCATGAAGTATTCTGGAGCCAAGTAACTACCACATAAACAATAGAGTTAGTATAGGAAGAAAATCGAAAAGAGTGAAGAATGAGAAAAGGAAGAGACAACATACCCAAAAGTTCCTGCAACATCGGTGCAAATAAAGTGCGATGAACCTGATGCCCAACTAGCAAGTCCAAAATCCGAGAGCTGATGAACAAATAATAACAAGTTGATGATGAGAATAAAATGCTTCAAATGCAATAATAAAAAAGACCTTTTTGGAAGGATATTTGAGGATATAATTGAGAGAAGGACAACACCTGTGGCTCAAAATCATCCGAAAGAAGGATATTTGAGGACTTAACATCCCTGTGAATCACAGGTTCTGCACAACCATAGTGCAGATAGTCCAATGCCTCAGCTATACCAAGAGCCACGTAATATCTCTCTTGCCAACCAAATGTATTTCCATCCTTCTTATGACCTTGATCAAGATGTATCCACCAATAGTCAACAAAAAAGAAACTAGAAACCATGTTTTATTCGATCTAAAAGAAAAAACTAACTAATTACCATGAAGGTTCTCTTCCAGACTTCCTCTCGGAAGAAACTCATATACCAAGATTAAATTGTCATCTTCAAAACAGAATCCAAATAACGAGATTATGTTCTTGTGATTCAAAGTTGTGATGATGTCAATTTCCTGAACAAACTCTTTTATCACATCTTCAGACGGCTTCAAGATTTTCACAGCCAATTCCTTCCCATCATGAAGACACCCTCTATAAACGCGGCTGCTGCCACCTCTGCCTACCATATTCTCTGAATAACAATTCAAACTTCATTAGCGAAAAAAACTTCTGAGTTCAATTCAATCTCAAATCAGAACTTCAAAGTACGGGAAAGAATACAAACCGGGCAAAAAGTTAGATGTTGCCTGCAAAAGTTCCTGAAAACTGAATAATCTACATGTTGCTGAGTACTTTTCATGTATATTCATTAACTCTTTAAGAAGGCTCTCCAACCCATTGTGAGGGGAAAGCGGGGGGCTAGCCATGTTATAGCCAAATGGCACAATTGCCCTGCTCTCTCCATCAAGAGCAGAGCGATCGTCATCCTGATTACAAATGGTTTGCTTCTGATCCGGATAGACTACTGAAGAATGCCAACTTGGTAGTCTCAATACCCATTGGAACCTGGACGACTTTTTAACAGATGCCTCAATGGATTGCCGAAACGGCAAAAACAGACGACGCAGAAGTGCCCAACCCGGATTCAAGAATCGAGAATCTTGAATTGCCAAGGAACCAGAAGCAGCTTGATATGGCTGAATCGGTACCAAAGCCAATGAATTGTCCTCACTGTTGCACACCGACAAATCGTCCTCTAATTCGCTGACAGAATCATCGGGCACCACTGAATCCGACTCAGAGATATAACAATCCCTCTTGGGGGTTTTGGTTCTACACTTAGAACAGGATTTTCGTATGCGATGGTGACATTTATACTTGTTAAGCTCAGCCTCAATAAGTAACTTTACATTCTTGTGAACTAAGGCGCCGTAATTCTCATTCCCATTAGATTGATTACTATCTGTTCAACAACAATAAACATAAGCATAACTCCAACACCCAAATCCACGATGAAAAAGGGAAATTAAGAAACAAAAAAGTAAACAAAAGGACAATTTGTCCAAACATGACTAAACAGTGGGGAAATCACACATGTGAGGCTTAAAATATTTTTTCTTCAAGGAGAATTCTTGAAAGGGTAAGAGGAAAAAAAATCTAAAATCCCTTAGTAGGAACAGTCTTAAACTGTCAGATTTTCACTAGGTACAGTATTAAAGTGTTAGATTTTCATCCATTTCTGTTAAATTTTCATATTGTTTTTAATCGAAAATGATTTTGGTGTAACCTGAAGGTTCAGAACTATGTCCCACTGATAGCATAATTCTCCGCTTTTTAATATTGACAATTTCTTTTGATCAAAATTTTAAAGGAATGGAACCAAAAGAATAAAACTCATCACAAGGGCATGGAAACTAATCTCAAATTAATACCCATTTTTGTTTCCCTCTTAAAGACAACTTTGCTATTATCAACCGCGAAAACACCAAAACATCGGGACAATTTAGCGGCGCAGTGCTTGGCAACGGAAGCCGAGGAGCGGATTCTGTGGTTGGTTTTGGATACTCCGACGACAAGTGTGGCTGAAGGGTAGGACTTGGCTTCTCTCACCAGAATTTTCCTTACAGATTTTCCCCTACACACTTTGAGCTTCAGATCAACCTGCTCAAACAACAAACTTTCAAGTCTCGTCATCAAAAATAGTCAGAGAATAACGTTGCATTTTCTGGGCATCTCCAAATCCAAAAAACAAAAACAAAAACAAAAAAAAATCAAATTAACAAACTGCTTCGAGACACTTTCAAGTTTCGTCACCATCATCAACAAATTAAAGAACAAACATTGTATTTTCTGGGTATCTCCAAATCCAAACAAAAGAAACCAAATTAAATTAACAACCTGTTTTTCATTATCAACAAAAGAGAAATAATAACATTGTGTTTTCTGGGTATCTCCAAATCAAAACAGAAAGAAATTAAATTGAATTGGGTTAAATTAAATCAAACTAACCTGCTTCAAATTGCAGAAGCCTTCGTAGACTGAGAGGACGGAATCAAAGGTGTTTATGAGAGAGAGCAAAGAGGACGTACTCTCTGAAAAACCCAAACAAAAACAATTCTTAGTATTAATCTTTAGAGAGAGAAACAAAAAAAAAAACAAGAGAGAGAAAGAGAAATAGACCAGTGGAGGAGTCGAGGACATGGAGAGCAATGACTTGGTGACCAGGAAGAGCGACTTTGACGAGGGCCCACGTCAGCAACTCCTTGCTCCGAGAGTCCAGCTTCACACCCACAACCACCGTCCTCTTTCCTCCTCCGCCTCCTCCGCCGCCGCCGCCGCCATTTTCGACTTCGCCTGTCGAACTCGAACTGCTCGGCTCCGCCACCATCTTCACCCAACGACTTCGTTTTTCTCTCTCCCTCTCTGTAACTCTGCCACTTGGAAGTGGTGAAGAGGTAAGACAAGAAAATGGGTTATCAGAACTCTGAGGAGACAGGACTGAAGAAGAAAGAATCTCTCTCTCTCTCCTTTTTTTCTCTCTCTACTGTAAGAAGAGAAAGAAGAGAGGGAGAAGAGAGACAAAATGGTGAAATGTTTTAGGAACGGAAGTTGATTAATTACAACGTTTTAACGTTAACGTTAACGTTAACGTCATAGGGTCGCGTGACTTTATGTGAGAGCTTTTTACTGTAACAAAAAAGTTAGATGTGATTGTTTGTGAGAGCTTTTTACTGTAGAAAAATTCAAATTCTAAACTCGAATCAGCGAAATGAACGGAGCCGAAATGTTTTAGGAACGGAAGTTGATTAATTACAACGTTTTAACGTTAACGTTAATGTTAACGTTAACGTCATAGGGTCGCGTGCACAAATCCTATGCTATGCTCCTTTATTTGTAAAGTTGTAACTGCTGGGATTTTATTGTTGATTTGTCCTTTCTTTCTTCGTTTTTTTTTTTTTTTTTTTAAAATTTTGGGCCCCCCCGAGTGGGTAAGGGGGGATTTTTTCTCTCCTTTTTTTCTCTCTCTACTGTAAGAAGAGAAAGAAGAGAGGGAGAAGAGAGACAAAATGGTGAAATGTTTTAGGAACGGAAGTTGATTAATTACAACGTTTTAACGTTAATGTTAACGTTAACGTCATAGGGTCGCGTGCACAAATCCTATGCTATGCTCCTTTATTTGTAAAGTTGTAACTGCTGGGATTTTATTGTTGATTTGTCCTTTCTTTCTTCGTTTTTTTTTTTTTTTTTAAACATTTGGTGCATCCTCGAGATGGTAACGGGGATATGCTTTCTCCACTTTCATACGTAATAACTGCGTTTCGTGTCATAATTTAAATTATAATTTATTATTTATTATAATATTTTTTTATAAAAAATACACATAAATTAAAAATAATTTTAAATTATAATTCTGAATTCATGAATTAAACGTCCACTTATTTTCATTCCATCCTTCGTGCTCTTTATTTTCTTATATAGTATTTTCATACTCGCTCTATTACTATGAATATCATTCCTACCTTAATTAGGTTTCCAATTTTCATAAATGAGACTCTAAACTTAATATATGATAATTATTATCTAGTAGCTAACGGATTCCAATTTAATTGAACGGAAATGGCTTGTAAGTTTTGCACAAATGCATCTTAAATTTTCCGTGGTTGGCAAATTATGCTTTCAACTTTTTAATTTTGACATTTTTACATTTTAGGCCTCGTTCACTTCACAGATTTGAGTTTTTAATTTGAACTGAGATGTGATATTTTCTGAGAGCTTTGTACTGTAGCAGAAAAAGTTAGATGTGACATTTTTTGAGAGCTTTTTACTGTAGAAACTTAAAACTGAAAACTCCAATCGGTGAAATGAACGAGGCTTTAATGTATGTTTATTAGTGTACGACTGTTATCGATTTAAGTTATACTGGCAATAATTGTTAAGTACCAAAATTAAAAATTTGAGAAACCACTTGCCAATGGCATAAATTTAGTGTGTATTCTTGTAAATTATCCTTCTTCTTTTTTTTCTTTCTTTTCTCCTTGCTGGCAAAAAAGGTAGAAGGAGAGAAAATGATAACAAGGTTTGGATAATAATTATAAAAGAGAATGGAGAAAGTGAGAGATTCAAAATTATCCACAAGAGCAATTTTGATCTAACTAAAGTTAAAAAGATTATTAGAAGAGAATCCTTCAAATTTTAATGACTAATTAATTTTAGTGGTTAATACAATATCCAATTTTAAGGATAAGGACTTTTTTTTTTCTTTTTTGCTAAATTTTAAGGATAAGAGTTCGAACTTAATATATTATTCTTAGAATATATGTGAAATAACAACTATAATAAAGTCTCGTTCATTTCACCGATTCGAGTTTTTAATTTTAAATTTTTACAGTAAAAAATTCTCAGAAAATATCACATCTAAATATCACATCTCAGTTCGAATTAAAAACTCGAATTCGTAAAGCGAACAAGACCTAAATCTTGTAAAATTATTCTTTTTTATTAATATACATTCTACTGAAGTTTTTTTTTTTAAGAGAAAATTTCATTTCAAATTAAAAAGATATAAATACTAATACTGACACAAAAAAATCTCAACAAAAATAATGATTCAACCCGAATTATAGACCGAAATCAATAACTTATTAGTATTTCTTTCTTCAAATTCCAAGGTGTGTTGAATCATGAATGACAAAATGGGAAGCGTGAGTTGCGAGAAGTAGAGTAGGTAAGCATTTTGTGAAGTTGTAGGTCAGAATGATTCCCATTTTCCTTTCTTTTTGTTTTTTTTTTTTTAACATTAACCTTTTTCCTTTCTTTTCTCCCAAGCATCAATGTTCTAACTTTTCTGCTTCACTTTTTGGAGTTTTTTAATATCCCCAAAAGATGCTAAAGGAGACACTTTGAGTAGTTTATTAAAAGCTAAATCATGGCTAGTAGTGGGATTTTATTCATAGACAGAGAACTTTTGTAGTTTATTAGAAGCTAAATCAGAGATATTAGTGGGATTTTATTGATGGGATTTTGACGGTGGTATATTGTTTTATGCTAATGCACATTAACTGCGAATATTAGAAACAAACAATAGCCTGAGTTGGTGAGAAAAAAGGAAAAAATACGCAAAGTTCTCCATTCATTTCACCGATTCAAGTTTAGAATTTGAGTTTTACTACAGTAGAAAGTTCTCATAACAATCACATTTAATTTTTTTACTATAGTAAAAAACTCTTACATTAAGTCACATCTCAACTCAAATTAGCAAACTAAACTGGCATGATATCCCCGTATCATATTTGGTAAAATCTGTTTGTGGCCCTAATTATTTTTTTCTGATCAAAAAGAAAATAAGGCGGTGCACCTCATGCTCCCATCTCCCTCAACCAATTAAGACAATCTCAGGGTGGTTACGGAGTTTTGAACCTAGAAGGATGAAAAGAAAAGTCCTAATAAAGACATCCTCACTACTGCATCACAACTCTCGGTGGTGATCATAGTTATTGTAAACGACTTAAAATAAAGATAAGAACAAAACATTTTTACATATCAAGTCCAAAATGTTGCATTTCACTTTTATGTTTTTTTTTTAGAGTTTTTCTAGTAGGCCAGTCTTATCGCTTGTGTCAGTTTTTAATCGTTAGATCATATAAAAAATCACATTAAATTAAAATTTTATACATAATAATTTTTTGTATTACATATCTGACACTGAAAATAGATAACTACGGTAGTTTATTTTTTTGGTCCTTTCTCTTTAAAAAAATTATGTATATAACCTTTGTCCTTTATCATTTATGTCTGAAATCATCCATGTCCAACATTTTAGGTCAAATTTCACTGTGAAAAAACTCAAACTATCCTACATTAAAAGCATTATTCAATGCCTCTTGATTTGAATTTCAAAAAAAAAAAAAAAAAAACTAAATCTAATTTCTTTTTTTTAAAAGAAAATAAAAATGGTGAGTTGAGATGACTCTGGTCCTCTGATCCAGAGTCATCCCTACTCATCATATTTTTTTATAGTTTAGTGGAAATTTAATACTATGACTCTGGTCCTCTGATCCAGAGTCATCCCTACTCATCATATTTTTTTTATAGTTTAGTGGAAATTTAATACTCATTTAGTTCACTGATTCGAGTTGAGATGTGATTTTATGTGAGAGTTTTTTATTGTAGTAAAAAAATTAGATGTGACTGTTTCTAAGAACTTTTTACTATAACAAAACTCAAATTTTAAACTCAAATTGATGAAATGAACGATGTTTTATCTTACAAATACAAATTTGGGGAGCAACTTAAAATCAGAAGAACTTGGAAATTACCCTTGTAAAAAAGGAGGATGAAAACCACACCAATAATATTAAAATGAAATGTTATTGATTAATAATAATTTATAGAAGTAAGAATTAAGAAAGATGAAAAAGAGAACATGGCCCCGGAGATAAAAGAGGGGACCAACATTCTTTACTTTTTATGAAGGAGACCAATATTCGTTTTGATTCATGCGTTTCATTTCAGTGTTAAATAACAGATGTGGGCTGGATTTGCACAAGGACTCTTGGATGGTTTAATTTTGTCTGATTACTTTTTGATTATTTTATCTTCTTTATTTTTCTTTTTGCCTATAGTTGTTTGATTACAACTTGGAATAGTACTATTTTATACCTTCCCCATCAATGGATGTTTGGTATTTAAATCACATACGTGTGGCAATCAAGGCATAAAAATTAAAATGTCTTGGCTTACATAATAATCAAAAGAAAAAAAAATAAATGTATTTATGGGTGTCAGTGTGTCACCATCTCATCAACCACATGGTGATTCTTTAATTTAAGAAACGTTTGATTCATGTATTAGAATAATGAGATTTGAATCATTTTTTATTTATATGTATTTTTTGTGAGAAAAAACACTGTAGCGAATCATAAACCATGATTCAAATCATGGTATAAATCATCCAACCAAACGTCCCATTAATTTTTCTTGTTATCCTTATTATAATGACATTTGACACGTCTATCAAAGCAAAATAAACAAATAAAAAAATAAATATTAATGATAATTATAGGGACAAGTAGAAATAGGATTAGGGACAACAAATTATCCTAAAGAATAATGTGAAACATCACATGTGTGTTGTACGTGCATTGTGAACCATCACATGTGGTTTTGTTGGCAACGTTTGATGACAAACTTGAGAGGCAACTAATGTGCACTTTGTGTGGTATTAGCATTGTATTCACATTCAACATTTGATGGTTCTCCTAGAGGAAGTGCTTGACCAAATTAACAAAAACAATAACAAATAGGAAATACATGATTCCTTGGTTGAGTACAAGAGTTCTACTCGTATTGTATTTGTTTTATCATTTAAACAGTATTTTGATGTGATTTGACATTTAAAAATAGTATTTTCATGTGATTTGACATTTAAAAATAGTATTTTCATGTGATTTGACATTTAGAAGCACATAATTCAATAAGAATATATGGGGAAAAAATATTTGTACGGCCTCGTTCATTTTACCGATTTGAGTTTTTAATTTTAGGTTTTTACAGTAAA